CAGGCAATAAGAAAATCTTCAAGACTTTCCCCCCCCCCCCCCAAAGGCCAATCCTCCCATGGCGGATCCCCCTATGAATAAGGAATTGGAGGCTCTTCTCCTAGTCAATCAGTGTCTACTCCAGCAGAACAAAGAACTCTTAAAGCTCCTACAAGGTCCTCAGTAGACACGACCAGCCCAAAGAGGTCCTCCACAAGGGGAGGATCAACACCTCGACCCCCTTAGGGAAATGAACGAGGGGGATGAGAATAGCCAAGCTCCCCATCTGCCTCCTCGGAATGGTGAAAATGAAGAAGCGCAAAGTGAAAATGATGGGATCGAGAAAAACGATTTCCTCCCTTTCCAGCAGGAAATGAGATAGCAATATTGGGAGCAGCGCTTCAGGGACATCCAGCAAGAGCTTAGTTACATGAAGGAAGTTGTGAAAGGAAAGACCCCCGTGACGATGGACGCTTTGGTGCAGCAAACTGAGTCCCCATTCACCACTGGGGTGTTGCATTTCCCCCTCCCTCCAAAATTCAAAATGCCCCAAATGGAGGCTTTCGATTGGACTAAAGATCTCATGGATCACCTCAATACCTACAAGAACCAGATAGAGTTGCATGGATATTAGGACCTTGTGCGATTCCAAGCCCTTTGCCATCAAGCTGATGGGCTCAGCCTTGACATGGTTCAACAGGCTAGCTCCAATGTCAATCTCTTCCTTCAAGGAGCTCTCAATATCTTTTGTGTCCCATTTCATATGAGCTTGGACCTACCGAAAGTTGAGCTACCACCTATTGATGTGAAACAGGGACCCAACGAGAAATTACGATCTTATGTCTAAAGATTCAATTCAGAATCTCTGAAGGTAGACATTCCAGATGAGAAATTTGCCATCACTGCTTTTATCGCTGGGTTAGAAGTACAGTCGAAGGATTTGATGTTCTCCATATCAAAAAATTCATAAACAAGTATGACAGAAATGTTAGCCAAGGCAGAGAAGTATATTAATGGTGAGGAGGCCCTCCTTTTTGAGGCAGGGAGCTCATCCTCATAGAAGTTAAAAGGGAAGGAAGAGAAGAAGAGGGATCGAAGTCCTAGGAAATAAAGAGGACAAGATAGGTCTCCAAGAAGAGACAAAGATCGCTCCCCTAAAAGAAGAGGAGATATTAGAGATCGCCTAGGTCCTCCATAGCCATAATTGCAGCCTAGGTATGCACCTCGATGGCTCACTCCCCTCACCATGACAATATCTCTGGTCTTGTATGAAGTACAAAATGAGAAGTTTCTAAGGTGGCCACTCTGGATAAAGATAGACCCAACAAAAAGAGATGCAACAAAGTATTGTGAATATCATAGGGACTACGGCCACCTCACAAACGACTACATCCGTTGCAAAAGGAAATTGAGTTTCTGATTCAGCGAGGACAACTACGCTATTTAATGGCCCACGAAAACCAAAACCAAGCTCCATCACCTCAACAAAAAGCCCCTACACAACATCAACAACCTCTAGGAGAGATTAGAGTGATATCTGGAGGATTTGTAGGAGGTAGGGAGTCTAGCTCAGCTAGAAAGGCTCACCTGCGCAGAATCAAAACTAACAAGGCATTGGAAGTGCATACAGTGTCCAAGCTACCACGGCTGAACATAGCTATAACTTTCTCAGACTTAGACTTGGAAGGCTACCAGTTTTCCCACGATAACCCATTGGTGGTAAGAGCCGTTGTTGCCAATAGAACTGTCCATCGAGTTCTGATTGACAATGGGAGCTCTGCCAACATTATTTTTGCGTCTACATTTGATAAGATGGGTATAGGCAAAGAAAAACTCGAGTTAGTAAGTGCTCATTTGTTAGGGTTCTCAGGGGAGAGGGTGCTACCCCTGGGATCAATCCAACTCGTGCTCAATATAGGAGATCCTCACTGCCAAGTCACCACTATTGTGAAATTTCTGGAGGTTGACGCACCTTCAGCATATAATTTCCTGTTTGAAAGACCTTCCCTTAGCGCCATGAGGGCCATTCCTTCTACTTACCACCTGGTCATGAAATTTCCTATAGAAAACGGAGTTGGTGTGGTCCAAGGAGACTAGTGTGTAGCGCGGGAGTGGTACATGGTGTCTATGAAAAAGAAAAAAGTTGAAAGTATCCAACTGAACGAGCTCGACATGAGAGACGAGCTGGACACCAGACCAATGCCGTCGGAAGAGCTGGAGTCTGCTCATCTTGATGAGGAGCTAGAGTACCTTATTTACGTGGGGTCTAAGCTGAGCAGAGAGATTAAAGACCTACTCATCCAGTTCCTGAAAAGAAATTTGAAAGTATTTGCTTGGAAGCAAGAAGACATGAAACACATCGATCCCTCAATCATCACACACAAGCTTAGTGTGAATCCTACCTGTAAATCCATTAAACAAAAATGAAGAAGTTTTGTTCCAGAGCGCTAAAAGGCAATCAATATGAAGGTCAAACTCTGCATGCCGAAGCCATTAGGGAGGTAGATTGCCTTACCTGGCTAGCAAATGTGGTTCTCGTTAAAAAGACCAATGATAAATGGCATCTCTGTATCGGCTTCACCTATCTCAACTGAGCCTGCCCTGAGGATAATTTTCCCTTACCTCAGATTGATCTGATTGTGGATGCCATAGTTGGACACGAACTCCTCAGCTTTATAGATGCATTCTCCGGATACAATCAGATCAGGATGGACCCTAGTGACCAAGAGAAGACCTCATTTGTGACTGAGCAGGAGGACATACTGCTACCAGGTCATGCCTTTTGGATTGAAAAATGCTGGAGCCATCTACTAGCTCTTGGTAAACCGAATGTTCCAAAAGCAAATTGGAACGTCTATCGATATCTATATCAGTGACATGTTGGTAAAATCACTAAAGACAGAGCTCCACATCGGACATCTAGTAGAGTCGTTCTAGGTCCTTAGGGAATACAAGATGAAACTCAACCCCGCCAAATGTGCCTTTGGAGTATTTGCGAAAAATTTCTAGGCTTCATAGTCAGCAGTAGAGGAATTGAAGCTAGCCCAAAAAAAGTTAAGGCAATAATGGATATGCAGCTACCTTCCAACACAAGGGAGATCCAACGTTTAACAGGAAGAATAGCTACCTTGAGTCATTTTGTGTCTAGATCAAGCAATAAATGTTAACCCTTCTTTCAAGTCTTAAAGAAGACATTCCAATGGGATACCCAGTGTGAAGAGGCGTTCAAAGCATTGAAGGATTATTTGAGCTCACCCCTTATTGTGGTGAGTCCCTTGGAAGGAGAAGTACTTACTCTCTACCTCGCTGTCTTAGATTTCTTGACCAGCGCAACACTAGTAAGTGAGTGAGACTGAGCTCATCAACTAGGGAAGCTTGAGGCATCCCTTAACAGTAGCAAGCTCCAGTCTAGGCACGAAATCCTCAAACCATCACAATTGTCACCTAGAATCGTGCAAGGCACCACGAAAGGAAGGCAAAGATCTCGCCACAGATCCCATAGAACTAAGGATTGAACTATAAATATTGTACAATGCCTCCAGTACGAAGGAGAAACAATTCTAGCTGTATCAGAAACACTATATAAATTGCATTAACCATTAATATAGATCCAAGGAGGAAGAGACTCCATTAACGAGTGATTTAGCCGAACTCCCGAATTGGTGGACCACTATATTTTCACTGTGCAAATCATCCCATATCCCCCAAGAAACTTATCATAGTTCTCACGAGCCTAGAAGTTCAGATCAAGTCTTGCTTAGATACACTACATTTTGCTCACCCACGTTTCGTACACCATCAGGATCTAAGATATACATCACTATTCATATAATTTGGATAAGTGATGATGATATAAGTATGTGACAATTTATCTTTATCATGTATTTCTCATCGTATAAATAGGAGAGAGTTCTATGTTTATAACCACCTCAATAATACATCAATGTAGTCAATAGAGCGTTTAGATTCATGAATGTAGATTAAGAGTAGAGGGAGAATTTGGGCGGACTAACTTGAACTTAGCCCCAATTTTTCAATACTTTGATTGAGATTTTTAATATTTGAGTTGAGATTAAGTTAAAAAAAAAAAACCAAACCCCAATTGAATTTGGTTGGTCGTGGTTTTGGGTTGGTGAGTTCAACCCAAATTTAAAAAATTGAGTTTAATTCAATCCAATTTCAACCTGAGATTTGAAGAAAAAAAAAATTCATACACATAAAAAACGTTAGGACATTTGTACTACACCCAGGGACGAAACCAAGATTTAATCTTGAGGGGGTCAACAATGACATAGACACAAATTTAAGTCAATAAAGTTATTCAATGGTCATTGTTAATAATATATTTTTATTTATAAAGAACCTATTAAATTTAATTTTTATGCAATGTCTTCGAAAGCCGACTGCAACCCGATGTTTCGTCCCTGACTGCACCCTAATGTTTGAATCCTATTGTAGATGTGAAATTTGTTCTTTTTGTTTCTCATTAATTTTGATTAGTAAAAAATTTATATACCTGAGGTTCAATTTTGGGGATGAACACACATTCGAACCCTATTTTGTTGTCCAACTTGGTTTCAATTAATGGGCAACCCAAGTTTAACCCTTATTATGTAACCTGAGTTCAAAAAACTTAATCCCAGGTTGGGCTCGGCTGAAAGTTTTATATCTTGAGTTGAGTCTGGGTTTACCCTCAATCCGCTTAACCTACTAGAGTTGCACGTCTACTTATTCAAATTAAATTCCACTCACTTTTTTAGATGCAAAATTACTAGTGAACTATGTTTACTCTAGTTTTGCAAATTTATCTTCTTTACTTGATAGTATGACTTGCCCATTTAATCGTTTTTGTGACATATATATAGTCTACAGAATCAACAGTTATACATATTGTCAATAATATTTTTGTAAGTCATGAACACAACCTTTTCATATAATTTTATTTTTTGGCCAAACCTTTTCATATAATTCAACACCTCATAGATTGATAGCAGCCAATGTTTTATTTTTTATAGTTTGCATCAATTCGGCTTCACCGGCGGAATCTTTTTGGTTCCGACGACCACTTTCCTGGCTGACTTGTTGATCGGCGCAGCAGCGGGGCCGCAGTGACATTGGCCATTCCGACATGATGCATTCTGTCCATAACATGTTATAAATCCACACTTCAAAATATTACATTTGTATTGGACCACTCCTCCATCATCAGTTCCAGCTGCCTTTGAAAATGGCAAACCTGCATGTAATTCATTTGTTACTTTCATGTATCATAAACAAACTCAAATGGGATCTACAAATACGGGCTTAAGCTTCATTTGGTTTACAGGAAAGTATATGCATCGAGATTCACGTTTTAAGGTAAAATTGTGATGCGATAAATTGTCATTTTTAACTGACTTTTTAATATGCATAGGCTCAACTTAAAATTGTCATTTTTAACGGGACAAGTTGTAAATTCAGATGTCCTGAATTTGAATCTTGACAATTTATTGGGGTTAGATCATGAGAGATTTATCCTCATGAATGGTCTAGTCTGGTAGTCCCGGCGTGGATGCCCTTTCATTGGAGTGAGAAGGGATTAATCGACATGCGCGAAGTTGGCCTAAATATTTTTCACCCTTAAACAATATATATATATATATATTAGGCTTCATATACTCACCTCACTTTCATGTATCATAAGTTCAAATGAATGAGAGAGAGAGAGAGAGAAATCAACCTGAAGTAGTCAGGATGAGAACCAGCAAGAGTACCACTCGGAATGAAGCCTTCTCCATGTCTTTCAGTTCTGCAGTAGAATTCTTTATGGACTTATTTGAGCTCTATGTAATAACATTATTTATAGTGGGAGGGTTTAGATTATGTATGGCATAAGCCATAATGATGGATTTAGATTACTTATAGTGGGAGAATTTAGATTATTTATGGCATAAGCCATAATGATGGATTTAGATTCTGGACTCAGTTTATGGATGTTGTTGAATAGTGAATGTTAATATCCAATTAGATTTGATGTCCACCCAACAACAATCAATTCATTGAGTCAGAGATTGGTGTTATTAAATTGAATCCAACTAACATTATTCAATAAAGGCAAAAAAAATTCTTTGAATTATCCTCTCTAAATATATTCCACTTAATCCTCATTATGGATGGGGTTGGACTATCCACTTGTATATGGTAACTTGGATTGGATATAGTTCAGGTTCAATCTCTTCCTACAATCCTTAAGGGCTAGTTATCTTTATTCTTCAGGAACATGTTCTAACTCAACTCAATTCACGGTGACAGTTGTTAAGTTTGAGGGAGTAGTTGACACAAGTCTGGATATCTGGTAAAAAAAATTAAAAAAAAATATTTTCATTCCTACTCAAATTTAATCCTTTGTTTGTTTATGTTTCTTCAATTGTGGGACCAAGACAAAAGTAACAAAATTTTGATCCAAGCCCTTCAAATCGGTGCTTTTAAGTACAAATTAACGGTAATCTACAATTTTTTTATGTTTTCCCTTGTCCATGATCATAAAAAAATCGTAATAATACTCTATTCACTCAATTTATACATCAAAGTTTTACACCACACGGTTGTGAACCAATGATTAGTGGGTCCCACTAACACTTGCTACTCATCCAATGAATGTGATGCAAGTAATCCGGCTGGGCCCACATATCCCAAATTCAATATATTTAGAGCAACTCTCAACAATTAGGTTTGGATTAACATTAGCTCTATAGCGTATGCAATGATTCAATGTTTTAGCTATCTAGAGATACAAATAATAAAGTAAAATAATTGGTTATGATATTTGAGATATATCTATATCTAGAAGGATAAAATTAGAACCATGTCATGAAGTTCATGATCTCATATTAAAAGTAGGACTTAAACGGTACTAAAAATATGATAAGATTTATAATTTTTTGATTAAAAATAGAACTTACAAGAATTTGTAGATTTATCCATTTTTCGTAAATTTCGTAAATTCTAGCACATAGATTTGGTGTTCATCTCAAATCCGTATGTGCAATCCAAATGTCGGATTTAGGCCAAGACGTTGGGAGTAAATTGGGTTCAATTTGTCTTAATTGTTGAGTTATCATTAGGTAATTACACCACATAATAATATTGATGTTGTGTAACCGTTACTGCTAATATTTACTCAAACGCTGGCTTCCCCCCCCCCCCCCCCCCAAGACCCCTGCGGGGCTCAATTTATGCTCATCGATTGCCCTCTGCCTAATGTTAAGATCTTTGATAAATACGAAGTTGTAACTTCACCTTTGGAAATTGTAATTTCCATGATCAATTATGATTTGTTTAAGATCGATCATGCATTTTCTAGTTATAACTTTTATCTCAAAAAACTAACTTGATCTGAAAAAATTATTAAATTTGGTATGATGCTAACTTGGGTACCATAATTTTCCTCGATTTAAGTAACTTGTGAACATATGCAATGATTTTTTGTAATGCCCCAAAATCTACTCTTGAAGACATTATTATCTATAACCATTCATATCATGAGAACAACTAATAAAATCCACAAATAATTGAAATTTTATTCATCAGCCATAATGACTAAAGCATCATCCAAAACAAAAACGCCACCCCATGGAAATTACATCCAAAAATTAAATATTATCTTGCAGCCGAATAAATAAAACATTATCTCATAATGAACCTCCCAGTTTAGAAATAAATGAAATAACTCTAAACGTCCACCTTGAGATCCATGTTCTCATTAATTCGAGCTTCCCAATTTTGCTACCCATCCAACCCGAACTCTTACTCTAGATTGTAATCTGAAAAAGATGTGGTTTGTAGGAAGTGAGCACTAAGCTTCATAGGAAAATTCTATCAAGCTCGAACAAAGTTCTGAAAAAATATAAAATAGGTCGGTCTCATTTTACAAAATATCATACATAACTTTTGAAATAAAACAGTGACAGTTTATCAGATCTCAAATTTACGTGGTTGCAATAAATTATATGAAGAAACAAAACCAACTTTCAGACAATAAATCATTACCAACACTGTATCTCAAGTATATAGTAAGACTTAACATGAATACATACATTGAGAATATTTTGGCACACACACACACATTTAATTCTTGCAAGGATACACAACTTTAAGAAGGGCGTATACCGACGCATCGGCAGTGACGAATTCAACCCAAGAATAATATACTAAACCTCAATTTCGATACCCGTGAGTGAATAATAATTTGGTCATCGTAAGGTACCAACCCCACTACTAGTGGTAGGGAACCTTTAAACCCACTCGGAGTATGAAACACATCTACACACTCTACAATACTCTGTCGACGGCCATCCATGTTCATCAAAACATCTACACAAGAGATACAAAATCAAACGAATTCACCAAATCACAGGTAAACCAAAAATCATAATTTCATAGGTATTTTTCCAACATAACAACTCAAGAAAATATGCAAGAGATCATCAAGAAATATAATTTTATTGTTCAAACAAAACACTAGAGTTTTTAAATTAAGAACAATGAAATCTCAAGGGTAAAATCTATATTTCTTGAAAACTAGAGTTTTGATAACAAGAATGAGAGTTTTTTATGGCTATCAAACGATATCAGCATTCAAGACATGATACGATTTGCAAGAAAACGAAGAAACAATGATTTCATAATATATATATATATATATATATATATCAATGAACAAGTTTAGGAAGAAACCTCTACCTTGATTCTCAAAATCTGGATCGTAACGTATTTCGTTGTGATTATCCCACGTTAATACTTCAAGATTTAGCCCGTTCTTCCTCCTTTTCTTCTTCTCAAACTTTCTTAGGATTCTTAGGGTTGAAAATATAGGTAAAGACACTTTAGATCACAGCCCCCTATGATATTTATAGGCTAAAAAAATAGAGAATTCTCGTGTGGCTGCGGGTAATAATCTGCTCTTGACTTCTAACCCCATTTTGACCTAGAGGCCGATTCACAAAATTTTGGTGAAATACACTTTTGTAGCCCTTGAAGTCTAGTTTATACTGTCAAAATTTCATATCAATTGGATATTAGTGTAAAAATTTATAGCAAACATACTAAGGTTATGTCAAATTTCTTTCTACCCAAATCCTCTCCAAAATAGGTTTTACCTCTAGAATACTTCTAAACTTCTAATACAACTCATATAATCTCTTCCAATGTTTTTTGACCTTCCAAATTCAATAAAAAATAATATTTATAAAATTACTTAGCCACCCTTCTCAAGCTTGCCCAAACATCTGCAAAACTCAATTTACCCCGAAAGTCAATACGCTTGAAACTTAAACTTCAAAATCAATTTTTTTAACAATGATTCTAAGTTTCTACTATCACTTTATTTATCTTAGGAGAACTCTTAATAAAATATTATTCTTCTTTAATTTTAATACGGGATCTTACAATTTTGATTAAAAAAAAACATATTCAATGATTCACATCTTGTAAGTTAACATAGTATAGTTGTTATGCATATCTCAAGCCATCATTAGCCTCAGTTAAGTGGAAATTAAGACAAAAATCCTCAGGCCAAAGGTCATAGCGCCAAGGCCCTAGCCACGTATCGGGGGTAAAAGTTATGTGCATCCTTTGTAATCTTGAGTCCAAGTATTTGAGAAGAAAACAGTTTTGACAGTGAGAAACTAATTAATGATTTTATAAAATGATCTGTTTTGCGCCATGTAGATTAAGCTAGATTTGGTGCAATTTGGCCCGAGTACATTGTAACAGTTGGTGACGGAGGAACGACTAAGCTGTCAAGAAATCCAAATAGATCGGAGCTAATTAGTATAAATTCAAGTTGATCATGCCAAAGAAGATAGTTGTTTCCATCAAGTTTTACTTAGACAAAATTGGTGATATTAGTGAGTGGAAAAGATGTGGGTAGATTGGAGGATGCCATCACAGATTTGAAAATTTTGATAGATGCTTTGTTGGCTCTGATACCATGAAAGAGGAAAAGAATTAAATTGGGTGAAATTGTAAACTCACAAATGGTTAAACTGCTTGTAATATAAGGCTAAGTTAAAAGTTTGTTACAATTGATCTTCTACTATCCGTTTATTAATCTTCCATCACAATTTCCACAACTGCCATCACAACCTCCTGACCACCACCGGTAGCTATCACTAGGTGTGGTAATCTAGTTGTTTTGTATTTATGTTGAGTGTTAATTGGCTCTAACCCAACCATTCAAGTAATTAATCATGTTAGAAGTTCTGATACTAACCTCACATGTTTATTATGGTGTTTTAGATTTTTTTTTTCATATTACCCTTGAATTACAAATTTATCAACAAGATCCAATTACTTCTCAACCATACCATCCCCCCCCCCCCTCATAAGTGTCTCAGGCTAGAAAATCTGTTTCAGGCTATATTCACAAAAAACAAGTCAAAACATTGTCAAAACCACCCATTTTATTTATTTTATACTTGTTTAACCTGTTTGGCATGTCAAATTCGAGTCATTTGCATTCAACAGTAACTTGATTCATTTATAATTCGTGTTAGCAAGTCATGTCATTTTGGGATTCATGCCTAGAATTAGAAATAATTGAGGGACTCACTTATACACAATAAGTCCCACTTAAATTTATAGTATGTGCTTCTCCAAGAAGGCAAATAGAGAAAAAAATTTATTGGATGTAATCATACTTCATCATTTATCCAAGAAATCCTAGAAAGTTGTCTCTTAATTAGGTGGACTAAGGAGTTGTTCTTGAAGGTTTAAGAAGATTAAGAATCCAGATTTT